GCACCATATCGGTTGGCTCCTCCTGAGATGCAGGAGTTGTCTACGCAGCTGCAGGAGCTGCTAGACAAGGGATTCATTAGGCCGAGAAGTTCACCCTGGGGAGCCCCGATTTTGTTTGTGAAAAAGAAGGACGGGTCACACTGGATGTGTATAGATTATCGGGAGTTGAATAAGGTAACGGTGAAGAACCGTTACCCACTCCCGAGGATTGATGACCTTTTTGACCAGCTTCAGGGAGCATCTTGGTTCTCCAAGATTGATTTGCGTTCGGGTTATCATCAGATGAGGGTCAGGGAGGAGGATACGCAGAAGACCGCGTTTCGGACGGGCTATGGTCACTATGAGTTCGTGGTGATGCCGTTTGGGCTCACCAATGCTCCTGCCGCGTTCATGGACCTCATGAACCGCGTATGCAGACCGATGTTGGATCGGTCTGTGATAGTCTTTATTGATGACATCTTGGTTTACTCCAAGACGCAGGAGGAGCATGAGGAGCATCTGAGGAGGTTTTGGAGACCCTGAGGATGGAGAGCTTGTATGCCAAGTTCTCCAAGTGTGAGTTTTGGTTGCGCGAGGTACAATTTCTCGGACACCTTGTCAACCAGAACGGGATTCTGGTCGATCCGGCCAAGGTCGAGGCCGTGATGAGATGGGAGGTTCCGAAGTCACCATCTGAGATTCGGAGTTTCCTAGGATTGGCGAGCTATTATCGGAGGTTCATTCGGGATTTCTCCAAGATAGTTGTACCCCTGACGCAGTTGACAAAGAAAGCTGTGGTCTTTCGGTGGGGACCCGAGCAGCAGGCAGCATTCGAGACACTAAGACAGAGATTGTGCGAGGCGCCAATCTTAGCCCTAACAGAGGGCGTGGAGGACTTTGTGGTTTACTGTGACGCGTCTATTTCAGGTTTGGGCGCGGTATTGATGCAGAGAGGGCACGTCATTGCCTACGCTTCGAGGCAGCTCAAGCCTCACGAGGCGAACTACCCGACGCATGATTTGGAGTTGGGGGCAGTGGTTTTCGCCCTCAAGATTTGGCGGCATTACCTCTAAGGGGTTCGATGTACCATTTACACGGACCACAAGAGTTTGAGGTACCTCATGGATCAGCCGAATCTAAACATGAGGCAGCGTCGATGGTTGGACGTGGTGAAGGATTGTGATTGTGAGATCCTTTACCACCCGGGAAAGGCCAACGTGGTGGCTGATGCGCTTAGCCGCAAGGCGGCACCGATCAGTGGTATGTGCATGAGGATGACTGTGGTGACTCCCCTGTTGGAGCAGATCCGGGAGGCCATCAAGGAGGAACATCGAAATAGCGAACGTGTGGTGGGTCAGGTTTCCTCCTTCGATTATGATAGCCGAGGACTATTGACACTGCACCGCAGGGTGTGGGTGCCGTATCACAGAGGCGTGCGTCAGATCTTGATGGAGGAGGTGCACAAGTCCCGATTCTCTATTCATCCCGGGGCGACGAAGAGATATAGGGATCTTCGTCTAGATTATTGGTGGCTCTGCATGAAGCGGGATGTGGTATGGTATGTCGAACGGTGCTTGACCTGCAGGAAGGTCAAGGCCGAACATCAGAGACCGCATGGGAAGATGCAGCCGTTGGACATCCCGTTGTGGAAATGGGAAGACATCACGATGGATTTTATCACAAAACATCCCAGGACTGCGCGCGGAGTAGATTCGATTTGGGTCATCGTGGATCGATTGACCAAGAGCGCCCATTTTATTCCGATCCAGGAGAGCATCTTGGCCGAGAAGTTGGCCGATATCTACATCAGGGAGATAGTATCGCGGCACGGGGTGCCGGTGTTAGTAATATTAGACCGAGATGTGCGATTCACTTCCAGATTTTGGAAGAAGTTTCATGACGACTTGGGCACTCGCTTGCATTTTAGCACCGCCTTTCACCCGCATACGGATGGTCAGAGCGAGCAGACCATCCAGACTTTTGAGGACATGTTACGGGCATGTGTGTTAGATTTCGGTGGTAGCTGGGATACCTATCTTCCCTTGGCTGAGTTCTCATACAACAACAGCTACCACGTGAGTATTGACCGACCACCATTCGAGATGTTGTACGGGCGGAGGTGCAGTTTCCCGATATGCTGGGGTGAAGTTGGCCAGAGAGTCATGGGAAGCACCGAGGTGGTGCTCGAGACGACCGAGAGGATCCAGCAGGTTCGGAGCAGACTTCAGACTGCTCAGAGTCGGCAGAAAAGTTACGCCGACAAGCATCGATCCGAATTGGAGTTCCAAGTCGGGGATATGGTTCTCCTGAAGGTGTCGCCTTGGAAAGGCATCATTCCATTCAGGAAGCGGGGAAAATTGGGCCCGAGATTTATCGGACCGTTCAGGGTGGTAGCCCAGGTGGGCAAAGTGGCGTATAGATTGGAGTTGCCAGTCGAGCTCAGCCAGATCCACAACACTTTCCATGTTTCTTAGCTGCGGAAGTGCCTAGTGGATGATTAAGCGGTAGTGTCGTTAGAGGATATTCAGGTTGATGACAGCCTGAATTACATTGAGCGCCCAGTCGCAATCCTCGACAGGAAGTCGAAGGATTTGAGGAACAAGAGGGTGGAGCTAGTGAAGGTGCAATGGCAGCACCGCAGGGGTTCAGAATGGACTTGGGAGTCGGTAGACGAGATGATGGAGCATTACCCCGAGCTGTTCCAGGATCGAGCAGCAGACTTTGAGGACGAAGTCTAAAATAAGTGGGGGAGATTTGTAGCGCCTAGTTCCTGGTATGTAAATCTTAATTGAGTATTTTTCCTTTTTTTTAAGCCTTGGACTCGGCGAGTCATAGGTCCGACTCGCCGAGTAGGGACGAGACCCGGGACACGTTTAAGTTGGCGACTCGGCGAGTCACCGCTGTTGGATGAAACCCTAAGTTTCAGGGGTTTGCACCCTATTTAAACCTCATATCCGCCCCATGCCAGCCCCCATTCACCCCCAGAGCTCCTAACCCTCGTTCTAAGCTTGTTCCTTGAGAGTTTGAGGCTATTGTGTGTGTTCTTGAAGGCTTTGAGGCAAGAAGGAGAAGTAGATCAAGAGGAAGGAGAGCCATCCAAGCATCATTGTGTTCTCTCAGCAGTTTCATTGAGGTATACCCCATTTTCCCCCTGTTTCTATGCTTAAGGTTTCATTTAAGACATTCTTGAGCCATTCCCCAAGCTAGTATGTGCATAATGTTTCGTAATAAGTTGATTGGCCTCTAGATCTAGGCAAGATTGAGCTCCAGGAGCTCAGATATGTTAGCTTTATGGACCCATGTGGCTTGTTCACCCTAGATCTACCCTTTTGAGGCATTTTGAACCCTAAAATCCATATTAGTGAATATCTACACGTAAAGTTGGAAAGTTTACGTGTGATTCATGTCCTAGAAGCCCAGATCTGTGAATGGCATGGACTGGAATCGAACAAATTGGTGTAATTAATGGGTGCATGGCAACGACTCGGCGAGTCTGCTCGCGAGTCTTCGAGTTGTCCCCTTTTTGCTGTATCGAGTTTGAGCAGTGAGTCACAGGGTGTGACTCGGTGAGTTGGAAGCTAAACTCACCCATGGTAGGACTCGGCGAGTCATGGCCTGGCTCGGCGAGTCCAAGGCAATCTTCATAGATCAAGAATAGAGTCGGCGAGTTATTCATACAACTCGGCGAGTCTAAGCATGAGTGTTCATCGGATGAAGATGAACTTGACGAGTTGTTCATACAACTCGGCGAGTAGGATGAAGGACTTGAACATCAGTTTGGATGGAGAACTCGTCGAGTCAACGCCTAACTCGACGAGTAGGAACGGAACCCTGGATAGTCGTTTGGACATGGACTCGACGAGTTGGATAGCCAACTTGGCGAGTCGGGTCAACTGGAAGTTGACTCTGTCTTTGACTTAGTGCATGGTCAGGGGGGGTAAAAGGGTAATTTCACCCAAAAAGGCAGTAAATAGTGATTGATTGAGTATGTGTGGGAATTACAGCCGGAGGATTTCCGGAGTAGCAGCAGCAGCAGACAGTCGGTTCCCACACACACCAGCAGTCATTTCGAGGTGAGTTTCCTTTCAGTAGTAAAGGGTCTAAGGCACCAAGGTCGGCCCGTATAGACGAGACGTTAGTATTAGAGTGTGGGCCGAGCCCGTATCTCTTAATTGAGTGATTACGATATATGCTAGTATGATAGAGCTGTCTATACTTGTTGTCTGTGTGATACTTGTATGATATGAGTTGGCGGTTGAGTGTGGGCTAGGCCCGTATCTCTCCGAGAGTGGAGTGTGGGCTAGGCCCGTATCTCCCAGATAGTGAAGTGTGGGCAGGGCCCGTATCTCTACGAGTGTGGGCGTGGCCTGTATCTCCCAGATAGCGAAGTATGGGTAGGGCCCGTATCTTCACGAGTGTGGGCAGGGCCCGTATCTCATAGTTGAATGTTGTTTGTTATATGCTTGCATGGTATGGGGTATTATGGGGGAACTCACTAAGCTTTGTGCTTATGGTTTGCAGTTTTGATTTCAGGTACCTCTTCAGCTAGGGGAAAGGAGCCGGCGCGGTAGCAGCATATCACACATACGCCTTTTGTTTCCGCATTACAGATTTTCTGGGATGTACTCTGAATTCTGATTATGATGTCACCGGTTTTTCAGACATGGATGTTTATCATGAATGTTTGTAATGATATTTTACGTTTTCATCTAAATTAAAAATGAAATTTTAACTGGTAATTTTGGGGCGTTACACTAGCAATACCAATGGTTCTGAAGTTGCAGCAGTATCCTCAACTTCCATCTAACCTTGTTCAGTCCTCCGAACATTCAAGTGAGTTCTTTATTCAGAAGGCTCCTGAGAAATCAGTGAAGGTGGTCTCAGTTTATTAGCTTGTTCCTTGACCTTCTTCGGTTTTGGTACTACTTCCGAAGGAATAGCCTTTGGTTTTCTCTTTCCTCACCTTTTTTAGGTTTATTAAGATCTTCAGGCATGGGTCAAACACCAGATGCAGGAAGCTTTTAGTACTCATTCATGATGACATTGTCAGTTGGAACATTCAACAACATGGCTTCCAGAATAGAACCCACGAAGATGAACTTGGTTGGATCAGATGTTTCAAAAGAGGATGTTTGTAGAAACGGAATGACAGCGATAACCGAATCTTCTGCCACCAGAACTTGGAAGTGAGTCAGGGCTCGCTTGACGATGACAGACCAAAACCGAGCACACGAGATCTCTGAATGTCATGTAGACGAAACAGAGCTTTAAACAAGTTGAGTCCAAAGAATAGCACCATAGTCCAAATTGATTCCTCTGTAAAGACCATAGATTAAGGTGTAAAATAACTTACTGGCACTAGTGGACCCAGCAACCCTTTCAGAGAAGCTTTTGAATAACAACATGAAAGGCCCATTCCACATAGGAGGTAGAATGGACTTCTTGAACTTTGAGAGAAATGAGATATCGCCAATAAACCCCATCTGGTAAAACATTTCAATCAGTGCAGAAGAAGAAATTAAGTCAAGATCTACAAGCCCTTCAGTAGTAGCAAACCCTAGACGTCTACAGAAATGGACTTTTGAAACTAAAGTCTTGTGAGAAGCAACCTCGAATATAATAACCCCTTCAGCCTAACTATAGTTTGCAGTAGAATACGCCTTTGACAGATGAACCAAGGGTACAGATTCAGCCATGGTCAATGCTTGAGCCAGTGGTGAAAAACGGAGACATTCGATCATAGGCCGTAAAGCTTCAGGATATCGAGAAGAATCAATATCGAGGGTAAGGTTTTGGTGAGGCTTCACGTTCAACATCATCAAAGAAGCAGATTGATCAGCAAATGAGGTAGTCTCAGATGAACCTGCCATGGAAGCAGTGGAGACAATGATGAAAAGTAGAGAGAGAGAGAGAGAAAGAGAGAGAGAGAGAGAGAGAGAGAGAGAGATGATGTGCACTTACATCATTAACATATGTATCAACATCATTATCACCGATATACTTAAAATTCTCTAGTTGAACATACATAATCGGTTCTGGCATCACGTTTACATTTTCAACACTATGATATTGACTTTTACTTGGAGTTGTAAAATTACCTATTATGGTGTTACTCCCTTTTTTGCTGGATAAGTTAGTTGCAGATGCCTTTCCTCTATCAGCGACTTCGTCTGCCCGAATACCTTCTTCAACTACAACATACACAGACACAGGTTTACCTCAAACATTATTTATTATCTTGATCAACTTTCTAATATCACAATCATCAACAATAGCACAATAATACATTTAGTATGGATGTTCATAAGACAAGATGACTTTTGATTCATTAGGAATATCATCTTGCTTTTCACCAAATAAACAAATTTAGTGAATGTGGTTGTCTCGTAAAATTCAACACCGTAATAAAACATTTTCGGAATGTATCGCGGTGGCCATACATACGATAGTTGGGAATTAACAAACTCTCATGTTCCTTCAGTGATAAGCAATAAGAAATACTCGTTTGAACTCATTCTATGAATTTAAAATAAAAAATAATAATAATAATAATAATAAACTTAAGAAGTAAAATCACAAACTTTTAATCTAAAAAATATAAAATTTCTCATATATAGTAAGTACAATACAGTTGTTAATACCTAAAAAAAATTAACCAACTTCTACGAATAAATAGTATATAATAAATAAATAAATAAAAGAGTCAACTTCTACAAATAGGTAGTCCATAATACAATAAAGTAGTATTAAAAAAACAAAAAACAAACTGTAGGTTTCTTGTAAAAACCGTATTTTTTTAAATATCTACGGTTTGGGAGACTGTAGGCCTTCGAGAGCATGTTGTAGGTTTCTAAAAAGCTACGTTTTTCGATTTCAAAATTGAAAAAAAAAATTACTTAAACCGAAACCGTAAGTATTAAGGCAAAAAAGTAAGTGATCCTAATAATCATCTACGGTTTTGGTAGTTATTTTACGACAATGCTAATTTTTGGCTAAAATTGGTAAGTAATTAGTGGTTTTGGCTACTTTAGTAATTTATAATTTTCTATTCTTTTTATGATATAGCCATTAAGACTTTAATTTAATTTTATAAAAAATATACAAAAGCAAAGTGTGGTTAAAACAAAAAAATAAAAATACTTTTGTGGTTAAACAATATATATATATATATATATATATATATATATATATATATATATATATATATATATATATATATATATATATATATATATATATATATATATCGGATTTTTTTGGAATTTGGCCATTGAACTAACTCCGAGCTACAAAAAAAATTATATATTTATAATACTTTTTTTTAGTCTCTGGGACAACAGACAACAGAGTGTTGCACAGAAGCTTGTTTCATTGTTCAAAGCATTCTACGTTGAGGTTTCATTTTCCAAAGGGTTCATAATTGAAGGTTCTTGGAGTTTAAAGCCTTCCACCTACAAATCTAGTCCATCTGTCAACTTCTGAGAATTCTTCCATACCTTAAAGCCATATTCCACTTTGTGAAAGTTGATCCATATATAACCATGGATCATGACACTTCTCCTTCCATCCTTTTTCATGCTATTACAACTATTCATTTTCCCAATTCAATGTCCATATCTTCTGTACCCTTTTTCAGTTTCTTCTCACTATTTCACCACTGCAATTTAGGTATATATATTCTTGCTTTTATTGTGATTGTTTTTGTTGTATGTAATCACATATAATCTTACTTATCTTTGTTAATTAATTAATGACTTGCCTTTTGGAATTTAGGGAATTTGTCAAATGTTTTATGTAATCTTTGTTGTTTATATGATGTGCATTTTGTGACTTGCTTCAAGCATGGTTGTGTGTCAAAGTTTTCTTGTGATCTTGTTTTGGTTGATAATCTGTGTGGTGTTTACAAGGTTAATTATTCTTCTTAATTGCTTCATGTATGTAATTCATTTGTATCAACAGAAGTTTTCCATGTAGTTTCTAAACTATATTTTTGTGCTAGGTGTTCGCAATATTTTATCGGCATAAATGGGTGTTTGTGATTGGTTTAAGATGATAAGTCGCAATAAGAGAAAGAAGAAAAATACGCCCATAAAGTTGAAGGTAATGGGTTTACCAATAGGATCTTATTTTCATCTTTGTTATTTGAAATTTAAATTGAACGTAATTTACGTTATATCTTTTCTTACTTCATGGGCTTAACTAGAACAAACTAAATATATTATTTTACTTGTTCCAATTTTATGGGATTTCCCCGAATGGACACTTAATGCTTGTTTTAACAGATACAACATGATTCCATCGATTCAAAAGGCGTAAAGAACGGGTATTCTATGGAGAAGGAATTGAAATTTCTTTTCTCTAGTAGAGAAGTTAAAGGTTGTAGCATGGGAACCAAGGAATTGGCTGCTATACGAATCCAAAGTGCATTTCGAGCATATAAGGTATGTGTTTATGTTTTTCATTTTGTGGGTCTCATGTACTAAGTATCCCATGTTAGAGTTTCGAAAGTGATATCATTGTTGTGGTATAAAAGAACGTTTCTTCATGAGACTCTTGTTTTGTATACAACTAAATCAATGATAGGCAAGGAAGATGCTACGTTATCTCCAAGGGATCTCGAGATGTAAGGATAAACTTACCTTTAGACAAGCTTCTACTGCTCTTGAAAGATTGCATTTTTGGAGCAAAATCCAAGCGGAAATCAATAGTCGTCGCATGTGCATGGTCAAAGAAAGCCGAGTAAAGCAGTTGAAACTTGAAGATCGGTTGAAAGTTGAGTCCAAGCTTAATGAACTTGAGGTACAACTTAAATCCTTACCACATGATATTTAACGCAATATCCAGCAGTTATGTGACAACAATCATGATGAGAAAAGTTTGAACGGAATTTCGTGAACTAATTTAATTCAACACGCATGTCTTACACCAGCAGCTTCCATGGTTTCCATCAAGTGGTGAAAGTGTCCATTAACTCCATGTATTGTGAGTAAAATAGTATCCAACCGAGATCATGTGACAGAAATCTTGATGCGTAAAAGATTCTATAGACAATCATACGAGATCCATAAAATTCATAAGCATCTCCAACCCAATCCCAATAAACACGAAAGAAACTTACACCATTCCCAAACCAATCCTCGTACCAGAAAGAGGTCATGTTGCCCCGACCCAGTTCTTTCTTGAATAGCTCCTTGAGTTGAATGTTGCATATAGTAAAGTCTTTCGTAATGCTAACTATTTTTAATGAATAATGTATGAGTTCAAATCCTACTTATATAAGATAGAAACTATCTTGATGATTTTTTCTGAAGATAGGAGTTGGTTCCCATAAAAATCTTTGAACCTTAGGCTAAAAGGAATAGGTGGTGGTGTTAGAGGCATAAATAGATGGTCACATCGACCAATATCAACTCTATTAGGTTTTTACCAATCTTAAGAAATGATATTGCACTAGTAGGTTGTTAGTAAGTGAAGAGAAGAAAAGAGATAGAAGGAAAGGGAGGAATGCAATTTGGTGATAGGACCCACAAAAACCATTGAGCTTTAGTAGAATTTTGGATCTATTTCCTAAACTTGTTTTTTGCTTTATTTCCAAATTCATTACTCTCTAAGCACATTTAATATTTCAGTCCATCTTGGTAAATAAATAGTATTACTCCTACTATAAAGTAATAATATTCTTTTGCACCAAAATGGAATAAAACTTTTGGTTGTTAATTTTAATTTTTTTTTATATTTATATATGGGAAAATGACTCTTGAGGGTAATTAACTTTTGAGTTTGTACTCATTTTGTCCCTTTTCTTTTTTTTGTATTCAGTATACCATCGAACTTGTTGTTAGTGTTTACCATAGCCCTTTTAACCGGCTTTTGACCTGTGATAGCCGGTCAAAGGGTTATGGTGAACACAAACAACAAGTTCGATGGTATATTGAGTACAAAAAAAAGGAAAGGGACTAAATGAGAACAAACGCAACAGTTGGTTACCCTCTTGATTCATTTTCTCTTTACTCATTTACAACAAATCTCACATCATCTCCTACTAATATTAATGACTTTATGAGATTCATTCTTGCTTCTCTTCAAAACATAACCTACGAAAGGACATTATTCATACATGTACAACTTTGTAATACACTTGAATATTTATTAGGGGAATTTTGAATAAGTAGGCGCATTTTATGACTACATTTACATTTGCAATCAAATGATTTATCGTATCATGGTACCTAGACAAGTCTACAAACGAGTGGAATCCCAAGTGCTGTGATTTTGGAGTTTACTTAGCTTTAAGATCGAACTCATGGGATAAGATACAACATCAATATGTACAATATCATGATGTTTTTGTAGACACATCACCATAATATTGTACATATTGATGTTTTATCTTATCCCATGAGTTCGATCTTAAAGCTAAGTAAACTCAAAAATCATAGCACTTGTGATTCCACTCGTTTGTAGACTTGTCTAGAATCCATGATACGATAAATCATTTGATTGGAAATGTAAATGTAGTCATGAAATGCGTCTGCTTAGTCAAGATTCCCCTAATAAATATTCAAGTGCATTACAAAGTTGTACATGTATGAATAATGTCCTTTCGTAGGTTATGTTTTGAAGAGAAGCAAGAATGAATCTTATAAAGTCATTAATATTAGTAGGAGATGATGTGGGATTTGTTGTAAATGAGTAAAGAGAAAATGAATCAGGAGGGTAACCAACTGTTGCGTTTGTTCTCATTTGGTCCATTTCCTTTTTTTTGTACTCAATATACCATCGAACTTGTTGTTTGTGTTCACCATAACCCTTTGACCGGCTATCACAGGTCAAAAGCCGGTCAAAAGGGCTATAGTAAACACCAACAACA